CGTTTCTGTTGCACTGTTAATGGTACTCTAGCAACAATAAGGCTAGTATTTTTTGCAATTAATGCATTATCATCTGTATAATCTGAAAGAATCATTTACACATTGTACGAAAATTGTCTTCATGAAAATGACATTATAATTATTTGTTAACAAATAAATAAGAAGTGATAAAATATTCTATATTTGCCTTCCTTAGTTTGTGCATTTGTTATTTGCAAATCAAAATCAGTGTTTTTTCCTATACGTTTCTGATGAAAAATAGCTTTCTTTAAATCCGCCACAGAAATATGTAATCCATCAAAGGACACAGTGTCATAATCTAAAGTAGATTTGAATTTATAATGTACTGACATCTTTGTTATTTATATATCCTGAAAAACAAACAATGAAAAAATAAACTAATAATTATTTATAAAATAATGCTGGAAATACATATTCCCAGCAATGAAGAAAAAATACAAATTTTAATAATAATATAGTTTTTTTTGCTTCTTCAATTAACAAATTTTTCACGAATATTCAAAATGTATAAGAAAATTCAAATGTATTTCAAAATTTATATAAATTACATTTAATAAAATTCTCATAAAATATTTTACACTAAATAACCAAATAACAACTGCTCAAATATCCTCTTCATTATTGCTCGTTCAAAATATGCTACATCAGTATTCTTTTCTTTTAGCTTAGAAATTTAATAAAATTGGATGATTGCAAAAGTTCATGTCCAATTTTCAAAGATGTTTTATTTTCAAATTAGGCACGATTTTTTGCAATTACTTAATAACATTGTGTTTCAATCATTTTTATATAAACTCAAAGTAAATACTGTATATATAATTTTGCATGACATAGTTATTTTAGTATTCATGTACAATTTATGTACAATTTCCTTTTACTAATATAAATTCTATATATGTTCTAACACTGTCTTACATTTGTATATAAATAAATAAATGTTATGTAAATTGATTTAAAAATACCACTTATAATTTATCATTAACATTAATAGTGTTAATACAATTTTATGTTACATTAATATACTATTGCATTTGTGTGTCTGCACGCGCGCGCAGCATTAAAATATTTCGTACGAGCATTGGAAGTTTAAAAAAAATATTATGCATAAACAATTTATTTTTCAATAATAATACAATCTGTACACACATCCGCAATAAATTCAGATATATACGAGAGATATATATATATATATTTCAAATATATATGAGTATGTGTGTATACACACACACACACACACACACACACACACACACACACACACACACACACACACACACACACACACACACACACACACACANCGCACACACACACACACACAGACAGACACGCACGCATATATATATATACATATATATCAAAAGCATTAAGAAACGTAAATAATGAATCTTTTCTGAGCGATAATTTAATAAGATTAAGAATACGCAACATTAACTAATTAAAAACATATTAAAATTATCAGTAAGGTTAAGGATCGATGTTACAAAATGAACGTAAATTGGAATAAGAATGAAGATAGAAAGAGGAGAAAATTATTATTTATTCACTACAAAATACTCACTACAAAATGAATAATAAATTCAAATAATAAAAGCGATAAATGTATTTTCATCCAATACATACAAATACGATTTCCAACTTGTAGCATGTTGCAAGGGATAGTCAATTTCTGAAATAGTCTTTATAAACTCCGAAATCATTAAATATCTAACCTGTATACACATACATGTACTGACTCTGATAAAAGCAAGGGATTCCGAACAAAACACTACAATCGCACAACCGAAAAACACCAAGTGAATAATTCAATCGTCTATAGTAGCAATGACACAGTGAGTTTATAGATGGCACAATCGATAACGTATACATGTTACCTCTTACGTTTAAAATAATTTACAATCCGTTTAAGTTTACTGCACTTTCGTTATCAGAAAAGGAAAGTAATGTTACGGAATGATAAATCATTGTATATTATTTGTTAAATTCAAAATAAATAAGTTGCATTCTCTATACATTGTTAGTACTTTTATATTATGCGACAGAATACACTATACAAAGTGTAATAGATAGACGCCGAATGTATCACCGAGACGATCTAGGGAAATCATGTTTAATCAAAATGTGAAAACAATTCTTTCATGAATAAATTATATAATTAATGCACAATTTATTGAATAAGATATTATAACAAAATTTGTCATTAGAGATATATTTGATTAAAGAAACATAAAAATTATACGCACGTTTTAAAAAAGGAAAAATGAATAATTCTTTGTATTTATGAGATTAATGACAAACAATACTTACTGTTGCATTTTATATTTATTACAAAATTATTATAAGCTTCAAAAATATACAATGCATAATGATTATATATATATAGTCATATTACATATATATATATACATACATATATATATACACACACGTGCATATGTTCAGTTTATAGAATATATACACTTAAATATTAAATAGAATAAAAAATTTTACGTAGAAACTCTTTTTTATTTAAATTTTTTTAAAGTTATTTAAAGTTTATTTAAATTAATATTTTATGAAATTAGTACAAAATGAATAAAAATTATAAATTTACAAAATCTTTTTTCTTTATTCCTTATTTCTGTTAAGATTATTAATATTGATTTATGATATATATAAATATATATAAATTATGTTATTATGAAGAATAATTTGTACCATTATATCAATATACAATTTTGAAGAAATATTTTAAATATTGCATACTTTTGTAATCAAATTAAGTTTATAATGATATTATTTCAATATCTTTAATGTAATTACTTAAAGAAATTTGTACATTGAAAAAATCCAAAATTTACTGTAAGTTTTAATGAATTATGAAGACACTTGGCATAAGAAAAAAATTATTGTGTATTTTTCACTATTAAAATATTTATAAAACTAGTACTGCAAAATTTTAATTTTTAATTTTATCATAACAATAAAATATGTAATAACATTACATATTATGATGTATATGTTATTAAAACTATGCTTGATTTTTATATCATTAATATAATATATACATATACGGTTTATAATAGCATCGTTAATATTCTAGCAATGGGTCAATTATAATTAATAACAAAACTTATTTTTAATACATATCAGACCATGGACATTTAACTGTAAATCTTATGCTTATTAACATTATCAAGCTCCTTAAATGCATTATATATTTTTCTATTATTCATATTCTCGTTACAAAATCAAAATTAATTTTATTAAAATTTGTAGTAAATTTTATATATGTATGTATAAAATAAGTAAATTTTATATATATTACAACTCAAATTTTATTCATATTTATCACTTCATTCATTGCATTGTTATCTTATTTATATCTTCGCGACAATGCGTTTACATTATTTGATCTGATAAGAAGTTATCACAATAAAAATAACATCATATATTTTTTTCGAAACTAATCTTCAAAGTTTAGTTAAACAAAAGTTTTTAACAAAGCATGTTTCAGGTATAAAATTATCGTATAAAGCTTTTTCCGATAAGCCTGGATTTATATATAGATTTAAATCCTCATTAAGTCACAAAAATAAATTAACGATATATGTGCGTCTATTGATTTTAAATTATGCACATTTGTATAATTTCAATAATTTCATAAAATCGATAGCTTTATATTGACACAGAGGATCTTTTTTCCATATCATAAATATTGTTAGAATATAGAATACATAATAGTTATTTTTTATAAATATAATGTACAATTTAATTCCATATATTATTTACTTTCATACTAGATTACTTATTATTTTTTATTTTTTTCTGTGCCCGAATTATGATTTATATAATCTTCAATATATTTGGTATCTATACAAAATTTGTTGTAATTTTTATGCGAATTATTTGTTGCGTAATTATCGTATTTTAATTATAAATTCGTTTACGTATTAAATTTAGCAAATTTTCTATTCATTAATTGTTGATGAATTTTTATTTCAATTTACCAAATGACAAATCAAATTATCAGTGATTTTATTCACTTTGAATTATAAAAAGATCCTCTATGTAAACAACAAGTATTTTTAAAATTATTATATTTTTTCTTGAATATTGTACTCTTGTAAGTATTGCATATAAGAGGACACTGGATATATATCTAAGCATATTCATAATATTTTGAAAATATCACCAATTAATTTCTAAAGTAAGGCTATATGAAGCTAAAAATGTTTTGCAATGATCGAAATTGCAATGTAAATAAGTAGCACATTTATATTGTATGCAAAAATATTAACGAGTCATACATTTGTTCAATGATATTATCATCAATTTTTATAACTTTTTAATATTTTCGAAAGACATGGCACTATATACATTCGTGTAATCAATGTTGTTATATTCGAAATATGTTTGTCAATAAGTTTTAATAATTTTTATTCGCGATTTCAATCATGGTCAAGGCTTTCATTACTGACATTAAAAGAAAAAAATAAATAGGAACATAATTTAAATAAATCATACGTCCATTTAAAACACTATCATAAACTATAATAACTATAATCACAAATGACCAAACTTGTCTTACAGTAGTACATTTACATCAGTTTTAAGCAAAATTACACCATATATTTTACTTAAACATAATATTAAACAAATTTTCGATGAAATTTCATGTAATTGCATCTTTAAATTTGTTTTTTTTTTTTTCTCCACTAATATTTTCACAAAAATTGAAAAATATTAATATTTTGAAAGTTCATACATACTGTATCACAAATTTAGATTATAAAAATTGTGTCTTCTAATATGTTCATTAAATGTGCAAAATTTTATATTTATATATCCCTGAATAAAATCCTTTGAACAGTAATCTTTTCAAGAATTAAGAAAAAAATTATTTAATAAATCTTTCCTTATTAAATATTGTATAAAGAAAAAGATAAAGAAATGAATAAAAAAAATTTATAATTATTTTTATCATTTCAGTGTCAAACAATCATAAATACTTCTGTTCAAAGGTTGAATACATAATGATAATATTTACTTATAATAAATTTTTTTCTCAAATATTAATTATCAATAGAAGTATCTTTTATATCGTCTTTACTGATATTTTGGTTCATTTGATCATTTTCATATTCTACAAAATCATCAAATAAACTTGGCCATGCTTCTGCATCGTCATAAACGCTAAGGTCATCGCCGATACTTTCAGCAAAATTTAAAAACATATTCCACGTATCTCTAGGTATGCCGCGAACATGATGACACTCGAGAAATTTTAGCCATCTTGACAAAAGAGGTGGTTCACGTATTGTGAAAACAAGCTTCCACAAAACAATTGCCATATCAGCCGGTAATATTCTTTGACCAGAATTAACATCCAAGCCAAATCGGAATGTAAATCGATAGAGATCTTTGAATAAATCATTGTTTACAGTCAATTCTTGAACAATTTCTGGTAATCTTGCTTGTATACCACGTATACTGTCTACTTTCATTGCTTTCAAACCTGTTATAAATTCTTGACGTGTAAATTGGCACATCTGTTTAGCATTTAATTTCCAAGCAAGAACAAGTACTTTAAATTCATCTGGTGATAATTGTAAGTCATTACAAAATCTTTCTATACCATCAGCTAGAATGACATCTTCGTGAGAATCCTACAAATAAAGAATAATCAAATATTATTGCAACATGATAGAAACAGAAATGAGTATAATAATTATAATAAGAAATCCTTAAATTTCACCTTGTACTGGTCAAATAAAGCATTTAATTTGCTCTCTGATGGTTCTTTCTGTTGCTTTGATTCAGTGGTTGCATTAAGACCAGATGATGTTCCAGATCTACCCAATGGTGATAACCGTGCATAAAATCCTCTTGACGAACGCAAATTACTTTGTACAATGGGCATAGATCCGCAATTATCAGATCCTACATTATTAAATGTTGATAGTGTGGTTACCGATTTCCTATTCCCATTTATATGTCTCTCCGGCATTAAGGGCCCAGTTTGTTGGCAAGAATTTAAGAATGAACCTCTTAGTTCCATTGTTTCTAAAATCATTACAATTCATAGCATGTATATTACAACTGATAGATGAATGTGTAAATTATAAAATTTCATTAACTTTCATTAAATGCATCAAAATGAAATGGAAATAAAAAAATTGAAGTAAAAGAAAAAAGAGAGAAAGAGAGAGAGAGATTACCGTCTTTATAATCAAATGATGAAGAACGAGTGGCAGTGGCTGGTGGAAGAGACACCTTAAAACACGAAAAACAGTTTCCCATTGATGCTGTCCGTATTTAATGTTAAAGACGATTATTCCATGCATCAGTAGTTCAGTCTTACATTGGCAGTCTTGATCAAAAGCTAAATAATAAAAACAAAAAAATAAATACCACCATAATGTATCGCATGAATTCATGAAATCAGTGAATTACAATAAACTAAACATTCATGTGTATTAATACAGGTATATAAGTAATTAAAAGTTTTCACATATCATACAATGATCAGAAATTGTAATACTGATATAAAGATTCTTTGACTTATGTAAAATAATTTTGTTGAAAATATAAGCTTCGTACACAGTATAATACACATGTATTCTCTTAAATTCATTATAGGAAAGATATTATAATATATATAGTATGATATAGTAAAAAAATTTTTTACCTTATTGTTAAAGCGGATTTTTGGTCTACCTGGGTCACGATAACCCCAGTAAAGACCCCCCGCAAAATATCTTGCTTTGCCCTCATTCATTAAATTCTCACGAAGTATTTATATTGCAGTATGTTGTAATTAAAATTGATAAAATACTTCGACTCCAGTTCTTTTAAACATCTCGTTTACACTTTCAAGTTGAATTTGCATTGGTTAAACACTGTCATTTGTAGCGACGTAACCTCATCAAATGACACAATGACAGTACTATCCCACGCGTGAAGCATACATTCAAACCAATTTATTTTGTATTGTATATTGGCGAAAGTTTGTGTACGAAAAAAAAAAAATACACAGAAACAAAGATATATCTTTCGTATTTCAACGCATAATAAAAAATATTCCTTCAAAATGAAGTAACAACGAAATCCTTTTCGTAAATTCAGTGTTGATATGTTATAAAAGTAACAGTAACTAGGAAGAACATTTGTACCTGCAATAAAATTACATATCTAGAATATGATCGCCGTACTATTCGTTAATCTGCTGATTTTGCTCTGTCAATGTTCTTCAAGCACAATCGAAGAGTTCAGTTAAATATGTAAATCAGATAATAGTGACCACTATTTGTACGATTTGTTATTGGTTATGATATGCTATAAATTAAATTCACGTATTTAAATACAAACCTATTTTATACATAAGCCATGGTGAGGATAAATTTGGCAACAGTGTTTGGACTTTCACTTTGACGTAAACATAACCTAGTCGGTATAACTTTGGTGTTTGTGATAATGTGCATTGTTTATATAAACATTCCATAAATTATGTCACATTTACGAAAATTACGTACAGCACAATTGCTACTTAAAATCTAAAATCAAAATCGTCAAGTACGTGCGTTGTAATTCTTATTTCAGATTTTCTTCGATGATGCAATACAGTGATGTCACATAGACAGATTTTGATATTGAATACATTGAAACTTTACAACAAAATCACAAATTCTTCACATTCTTGTAGAAAATTAAAAACAAATAGCTCTTACTCTATAGACTAGCATTGAAAGTTAAAACGATATTTACTGATTAGGTTATGTTTACGTTGAGACAAGAATTCTAACACTGTTGCCACTGATGTCACGTTTACCGCATTTGATATACGATACACGAAAGATAATTTTGTTACGGTTCAATTGCGAAATTATATAGATTAACCCAAGAAAAGATAAGAATATCAATATAACAAAATATAACAATAGTAGTTACTTAACATTGAATTTTAATAGAGATTCTTATTGATAATAATATTTAATAATTTAAAATGTAATATGCATTACAAGTTACAATATATAATTCTGTGTACGATTCTGAAAAAAGTTTGAGATTATGAGAATTAGCTACTTTTTTCATTTTCATATTCATATTTCTATTGCGTTAGTTTATTTAATATCGGATGACAAATGAATATTTATCTTTAACACGTTAATGGCGATAATAGTAGTCAGATAAAACATCTTTTAATTTGAAATATATTCTTTTGTTTTGTGTTAAATAAAATGTAGTAACTAACGTTTCTTTTTTTTTTTAGATGCATGGTATATTTACTAAACGTATATTATTGTATTATTATAAAAATAACACTGTTTGTTTAAAATTTATCAATTTTAGATAATGTATCCTTCCTCATAAATATGATTTTTTTTTGTGTTGCAGATTAAAGATTCTGACATATAATATTTTTCAATAAAAAATGCCAGAATTACCACGAATTACAAGATCTCTGCGAATGTTTACAAACCTTGGACGTATTAAAAGTACAAGGGATCTAGAACCAAATAACTTACATAAAAAAGAAAAAGAACAACATAATAGAGTGAAAAGGTACTTTACATTTAATATTTTATGAAAGACAAATATTTAACCGAATTATTAAAGTGCCTCATATATATTCATAGAATGTTTCTTCAAGTTGGTTTCAATTGTGCGAAGAATTATAATTTATATTTATCTAATTACCTAGAAGCTGGCTAATTTACACTTGTAAATGAAAAAAATAACCAGTGTAAAATCACCAAAAAATCATTTTTCTTCTAATTTATTATGAATATTACTTTAATTGTACAATTAATACTTACAATTATACGTATTACAGTGAATTTAATTGGCAAGATTTGTGCAAACATATACCCAAGAATATTTTACATCATGTTAATAAACTACGTCAAATTGCTATTAACGCACTTGGTATGTAATAATTTTATACATTATATATATTATATACATGTATATGTATATTTTTTGTATATGTATGTGTTTTATACATTATATATATTATATACATGTATATGTATATTTTTTGTATATGTATGTGTTTATGTGTGTGTGTGTGTGTGTGTATATACATATATATATGTATAATAACAAAATTTTTCATTATTTGTTATTATTTTAGGAGAATGTTCCTATGAAATCATCGATGAATTTTTAATGTTTACTTTAGAACTATTAATCAATGAAAAGATGTTAACTAACACAAAATTTACAATTTTAAGAAAAAAAGCTGGAAATTTAACATTTGAAGATGCCCAAAATATGTTGGAGGTAAACATATATAAAATTCATAAATTTATATGCATATATTAAAAAAATTTTAATATATTTTTTGTAGATAATTATAATAATTCGAGAAAAATTAAATGAAAATATTTTAACACTGATAGAAAATAAAAAAGGAATTACCAATGATATTGAAACATCGGAAAATAAGTTATTTGGTCCAAAAATTGAATATAAGTCTGCAAGAGTGTTGTGGCCAGATACTGGAACACTTCGTAGCATGTCTTTAGAAAACACTATTCAAAGTACTGACAATTTTTCAATGGAATATAGAAATGAAGAGACAAAATTAGTTAAAACTAAAGTTTGTACTAAAATTTGTTCATACTAATTTGTGCAATATTTATTTGTATAATGTACTAATTATAATTATACTTTTATTTTAGTTTGATAAGGCGGTATATAAAGAAAATTTGAATGTATACTATGAAAAGTATTCTTCAACAATGTCTCGAGAAGCATTTGATAATACTATAATTAATAAATTACAAAATGAAAATTCGGAAAGTGAATTATTCGATTTCCTTGGTTGTGAATCCATAGATTTCATACAATACATCATTGAACATCGGAAAAGTATTATAGCTTTGAATTCCGATCTGAAAGTACAAAAAAAGTCTAATATCCAAAGACCTGTGATTAGTGGACAAGTAACCATACAGTCTGAAAAAGAAAAACAATTATGGAAAGATGTACAAAAACAGAAAAAAAAATTTAATAAAATATCAAGTAAACGAGAAAAAAAAGGAGAATCTGAAGAAAATGATTTTGATTCGGTAGAATTGCGCTTAAAACAGAATGAAGCATTAATAGAGATGCATACACCCATATTTAAAAAAAATGTTACAGACAGAAATACACGAGAAAAGTTTCCCTTTGTATTTGACTCCAATATGTCTAGTAGAATAACAGCTGGTTATGTATCAAAACAAAAAATAATGTTACCACAGAATGCAGAGAGAAAAGATACAGAAATGTTCGAGGAAGTTTCTATACCTATTCCAGAGTCTCAACCCATTGATGTAAAGTACAAATCTGTTATGATAGATTCATTAGATGATATTGGACAAATGGCTTTCAGCGGTATTACATCATTAAATGTAATACAAAGTATAGTATTCGATGCAGCATATCACACTAATGAGAATTTATTAATTTCTGCTCCAACGGGCGCTGGAAAGACTAATGTCGCTATGTTAACCATAGTACATCAATTAAAGCAACATATTGAACATGGCCAGTTAATGAAAAATCAATTTAAAATAATTTACGTAACCCCAATGAAAGCTTTAGCAGCTGAAATGACAGCAAATTTTAGTAAAAAACTGCAATGTCTTGGTATATCCGTTCGTGAATTAACTGGAGATATGCAATTAACTAAATCAGAAATTCAACAAACGCAAATGATTGTTACCACGCCAGAAAAATGGGATGTTGTTACTAGAAAAGGTACTGGAGATATATCTCTCACTAGTATTGTAAAACTATTAATTATTGATGAAGTGCATTTGTTGCATGGTGATAGAGGGCCTGTAGTTGAAGCATTAGTTGCTCGAACTTTAAGACAAGTAGAATCTTCACAAAGCATGATCAGAATTGTTGGCCTCTCTGCAACTTTACCAAATTATTTAGACGTTGCAAGATTCTTAAGAGTGAATCCATACGTAGGACTCTTTTATTTTGATCATCGATTTCGACCAGTACCTCTTAGTCAAACATTTATCGGTGTAAAAGCTACATCACTGTTACAAGAAGTGAACTACATGGATCAAGTATGTTACAATAATGTTTTAGATATGGTACGCAAAGGACATCAAGTGATGGTATTTGTACACGCACGAAATGCTACTGTTAGAGTAGCAAACGTACTAAAACAGTTAGCAATACAAGACAATACATATAAATTATTTATACCTGAAGGTCAAGCAAAATTTACAAATAAAGCTTTTGCCAAGTCACGTAACAAATATCTAATTGAATTATTTAATAACGGATTATCAGTACATCACGCTGGCTTATTACGTTCAGAAAGAAATCTAGTTGAAAAATACTTTAGAGAAGGTTTAATTAAGGTATTAGTATGCACGTCAACATTAGCTTGGGGTGTAAATTTACCTGCACATGCAGTTATTATAAGAGGAACAGAAATATATGATGCAAAACACGGTGCATATATCGATTTAGATATATTAGATGTTTTACAAATTTTTGGTCGTGCTGGTAGACCACAATTTGATGTATCTGGTCATGCTGTTATTATTACTTCCCATACTAAATTATATCACTATTTATCGTTGTTAACAAACCAAGTACCCATTGAGAGTAGTTTCATCAAATATTTGGCTGATAATTTAAATGCTGAAATTGCATTAGGTACGATATCAAACGTAGAAGAAGCTATAAAATGGCTAAGTTACACCTATTTATTTGTTCGAATGAAATTAAACTATCATGTTTATGGAATTCCTTATCAAGTTATTATGGAAGATCCAAATTTAGAACGAAAAAGGAAAGAGTTAATTGATACAGCAGCTAAAGAGTTAGATGAAGCTAAAATGATTCGATATAATACAAATACTGGAGATCTAAGTGCAACAAATCTAGGACGTATTGCAAGTCACTTTTATCTCAAATATGACACTATTGAAATTTTTAATAAACTTATAAAATCATTTATGACTGAAGCAGAAATATTTGCTATGATATCCCAGTCTCAAGAATTTGGACAACTGAAAGTGCGAGAGGATGAAATGGAGGAACTGGAAGATATGGTTCAAGAATATTGTGAACTTAAAGTCGAAGGTGGTGTAGAAAATATACACGGTAAAGTGAATATTTTATTACAAACGTATTTGTCACATGGTCGAGTTAATTCATTTTCATTGATATCTGATCAAGCATATATTGTACAAAATGCAGGACGCATTTGTCGTGCATTGTTTAATATCATGTTGGGACAGAACAATGCAACAATGGCTGGTTGTTTATTAGAAATAGCAAAAATAATTGAGGTGCAACAATGGGGTCATAAAAGTCCTCTGTGCCAGTTTCATTGTTTATCACCAGAAATTATTGATAAAATAGAATTATATGATTTGACAATTGATAGATTAAATAATATGAATGTTAAAGAAATAGGGGATATTTTGTATAATCAGAAAGTCGCAGTATTGGTGAAAAAATGTTGTGAAGAATTACCTGCAATAGAAATGGAAGCAAATATACAACCTATTACTCGCACAGTTTTAAGAATACGTTTGAAAATATTTCCTCAATTTCGATGGAATGACAACGTTCATGGTAAAACTTCAGAACCATTTTGGATATGGATAGAAGATCCAGAAAGTGATGTTATTTATCATCATGAATACTTTAACATGTCAAGAAAAATGGTTTACAACAATCTTGAACAAGAGCTTGTAATGACCATACCATTACACGAACCATTGCCTTCTCAGTATATAGTAAAAGCAACAAGTGATCGCTGGTTAGGTTGTGAAAATATGCTGCCTCTAACATTTCACGATTTAATTTTACCTGAAATGTATCCACCATATACTAAACTGCTAGAGCTACAACCGTTACCTGTAAAAGCATTGAAAGAACCATTATTTGAAAAACTTTATAAATTCTCTCATTTTAATCCAATACAAACACAAATTTTTCACTGTTTGTATCATACGGATAATAATGTTCTACTAGGAGCTCCAACTGGTTCAGGGAAAACAATTGCTGCAGAGATTGCTATATTCCGAGTATTTAAACAATATCCAACGCAAAAAGTTGTATACATTGCACCATTGAAAGCTTTAGTTAGAGAACGAATGAAGGATTGGAAAGTTAGATTGGAAGAACAACTAGGGAAGCAAGTAGTAGAACTAACTGGAGATGTATCACCAGATGTTAAAATTATAGCAAGTGCGAGCGTTATTGTAACTACACCAGAAAAATGGGATGGTATCAGCAGAAGCTGGCAAACAAGAGCTTATGTCAAGAATGTGGCGCTCATTATTATAGATGAAATACACTTGTTAGGGGAGGATCGTGGTCCTGTATTGGAAGTTATTATTTCAAGAACTAATTTTATTTCTAGCCATACCTCAAAAAAATTAAGAGTTATCGGACTTTCGACAGCATTAGCTAATGCAGTGGATTTAGCTGATTGGCTTGGTATTAAAGAAATGGGCCTTTATAATTTTCGTCCGTCTGTACGACCTGTACCATTAGAAATTCATATACATGGATTCCCAGGGAAAAATTATTGTCCGCGAATGGCAACAATGAATAGACCAACTTTTCAAGCAATTAAACAACATGCCTCATCTAGTCCATCTTTAGTGTTTGTTTCATCACGCAGACAAACACGTTTAACTGCGTTAGATTTAATTGCATACCTTGCAGCAGAAGATAATCCTAAGCAATGGCTACATATGTGTGAGGAAGAAATGAATACCATTTTGGATCATGTAAGAGATTCAAATTTGAAACTTACACTTGCTTTTGGAATTGGGCTTCATCATGCTGGTCTTCAAGATAGAGACAGGAAGACTGTTGAAGAATTATTTGTTAATAATAAAATTCAGGTACATATTTAGATGCTAATTGCTATTCACAATTTTGTTTAGATCCTCAATATTTAAATTAAATTAAAGTAAAGAAGTCTTAACAAAGAAAAAATATTTGAAATACATTACAAATATTTAATAGAATATTTTATGAAATAAACTAAATTAAAACTAAGAATATTATATTTAGGTATTGATTACAACAGCTACTTTAGCTTGGGGTGTCAATTTTCCTGCTCACTTGGTCGTAATAAAAGGAACAGAGTATTATGATGGTAAACAACACCGTTACGTAGACATGCCTATCACAGATGTGCTTCAAATGATAGGACGCGCAGGCAGGCCTCAATTTGATAATGCTGGAGTAGCAGTGGTTTTAGTACATGACTTGAAAAAGAATTTTTACAAAAAATTTTTACATCAACCATTTCCAGTAGAATCAAGCTTATTAGCTGTTTTACCAGATCATATAAATGCCGAGATTGTGGCTGGTACAATTAAAAATAAACAAGAATTATTGGATTATTTAACCTGGACATACTTTTTTATAAGATTAATGAAAAATCCTAAATATTATGACTTGAATGGTTTAGAACTCCATATAATTAATCAGTATTTATCTTCTTTGGTGGATAATACATTAAAGGTGTTGATAGATTCACATTGCGTAGAGTTTGACCAGGTATATAAACTAAAATTAAAGTCTCATTTTTAAGTTGTTGTATAAAGAATAATTTACAAAATTTTTTATTGATTTTAGGAAGAACAAATTTTATATTCACTTTCAATGGGTAAAATAGCGTCATTTTATTATTTATCACATCATACTATGTTAATGTTTGAAGAATCATTACAAGAATCTTTAACATTGGAGCAATGTTTACATATTTTATGTAATTCTCACGAATACAATGAATTACCAGTAAGGCATGATGAAGAATTATTAAATGAGTAAGTATTATTGTGCTAGTAAATAAAAAAAAAGTATTTTGAAAATCCTATTTTATTTTAATCTGTTTAATTTTTAAATAGAGAATTAAGCAAACTGTGTCGTTACCAAGTAGATAATTACTCGTATGGATCTCCACATACCAAGGCGTTCTTATTACTTCAAGCACATTTTTCGAGGCTTCCTATGCCATGTGTAGATTACATTACTGATTTAAAATCAGTTCTTGATCAAGCAATTAGGATTATTCAAGTATGTATGATTAGAAGAAAAGTAATATTACTTTATATGAATTATAATTAAAATACTCTAATCAATATATATTTATTTTTAGGCAATGATAGATACAGTTGCAGAACATGGATGGTTAGCAAGTACAATTATGATAATGAATTTATTTCAAATGCTTATTCAAGCTCGATGGATTGATGAATTTGCAATTACTACATTGCCACACGTAAATTCAGAACATATACAATTATTTTCGACATTGTCACTATGTCTTCCGAAACTGTGTTTCACTATGCGCGACAAGTATAATATACTTGTACAGGTGCTTGGTAAAGACTTTCAGGAAGAACAAATATATCAAGTAAATACTTATAATATTGAAAACAAAATTTCTAATATTGAAAGCACATGCTAAAAATATGAAATTATTAATTGTGAATAATTTTGATATTAGATACATCAAGTAATGAAAGAGATGCCGATGCTTTGTATTGATCTCAGTTTAGAAATAGATGATGGAAAACAGAAGTTTAGATCACTAAAGTCCAATGATTCTGAATATGTAAATATTCACAAGGATAAAGATTATATACTAAATATTGCAATGAGAAGAAAAAATAAGTCTAACAATTTGAAAGCACATTGCCCTTTATTTCAAAAAGGGAAGGATGAATGTTGGTTTTTAGTTCTAGGTAATATTTTTGATAGAGAATTATTAGCTTTAAAACGGGTATGTGGAATAAATGAACAACGCATGTCTCATCAATTACAATTCACAGCACCATCAAATCTAGGTAATTTTATTATTTTATATATCTATAATCATATACAATAATAACTTTTCTTCTATCTAACTAAAAATTTAATCTTTCTTTTGAAGGACAAACGATTCTATCGTTTTACTTGATATCTGATTGTTACATTGGATTGGATCAACAATATGATATAAAAATTAATGTAATACCTTAAAATATAAATTTTATTTTATTTAATAAATGTACTAATTTTTTCTAAAAAATAAATGTAAGCCAATTGCTTTTATAAAATCTATTATTATTTTACTAATATTTATTAAGTTAAAATTGTTTTAATAACTGTAAGTACTGCAACCAAATATATTTAAATTAGGAAATTTTTTTATATTTATTTTTTAAAAGAGGTGCATATAAATTTATAATATATTTTTATTTATTACATGACTATGAAATATATATATATATATATTTCAGAAATATATATATATATATATATATATATATATATATATATATATATATATATGAATTATTTTATATCTTTGATATAAATGCATATCTTATTAATTTAGTATATAAAGATAAAAAAAATAGCATTTGAAGGATCAGTTTTATAATTTTATATATTATGGGTTAATAAATTCAACTTTACATAAAAGTAAAGAATAACAGATGAAATCATTTTCAATATAATATTACTTCATTTTATTACAAAAAGAATCTTATAGATTATACGCATAATTTAATACAAAAATTTCATCCTAACATTAGTACTTTATTAAAAGTAAAAGAATATCAATAATGGTATAATATATTATGTAAACATTTTTCCACACTGATCCTCCTTTATATTTATGTTATGATATTATAACAATATTTATTTGTAATTTCTTATACTAACGAGGAATAACAAGATAATATAGGGTAGGAAGGATATGAGATCATTTCATTGCTTTGTTTTGAAGAGAACATGATTAAGTTGTACATTATTTATCTGTAATATTTCACCTGATATCGATCAGTGCAGACTGTTCAGTCTAATGACCTAGAAGAGGTACACTTTAGCTCTAGATTTTTAGTTTTAAACTTGTACAAATCCCTGAGACAAATAATGCAATTTGTGACAAAGTATTTTTTATTCATTAATTTTCTTAATATTTATTGTCCTAGTAATCAGAAGTAAACATTGTCCTAGTAATGAGAAGTAAACAAAAATTATTAAATTAAATTAAAAATTTTAATTTCAAATAATAATAAATTTTATACTGTAAAAATACTATATAACAATATAAAATTAACACAGCAAAATCCACCAAATATAATAAACACTTTTCTATATCTAAAATATAATTCATGAATATTTTGATACCTTAATATTTTATAGACAAAATATAATTATCCCTTTTGTTACTTCTCCAAGTTATTCTTCTAGAATTTCAAATTAATAACACCAACATTAAACACTTTTTATTGCCTTACATAATTTTTTAAATATCGGTAATAAAGTCGGTCAGATAAATTAATAATTGAATACTTTTTTTTAAATTAAGATTTTACCTTTTTCATCAATAGATTGAACCTTCTGCTTGTTTAATGTATATGAAATGCATAAATTATCATTTCTGTAATTGTAGTAGTACTAATCAAAGCAAAGAAATATTTAAGCTCCTTCCATAATGGAAATTTGGAAGTACTGATTATTTCTTGTAAGTAATAAACCGAAATATTTTTAAAGCAAAAATTTGACAGACAATAATACATTTCTACTCATCACATTCATTGCAAATATTAATATATGTTTCCTCAAGTAATTGAGAAAATTTCACACAATATAGCAAATTGCAACTTCATTTGCAAACATCATTATTTTTCTTTTTAAATATAAAATAAAATTTTTTTACATTATAATTAATGCATCTTTATGATTAATAGGTTATTACTGCCGTTCTTTTCGTACTTTCCTTTTTTCTGTAAATTTTTTGAATAACAATAAAAGTGTATACTGTATCACTCAAGAACCAAGGAAGCACTGGCATAACTAACAGAACTATCATTCATATTATTGCACTGATTGCTTTGAGCATATTTAAGAAACTTCAAATTCATTCTTTGGCCATTAGTATTCCCTTTTAAACTATGAATTGCCTGTTAAAATATTAATTATAATTTCAAAAATTGTGTCGTATTTCATAAAAAATATTATTACAATTTATTATAAACAAGAAATTATTAATTTTAAATATTGAAAACTCATATACGTGTAGTAAATCAGGAAATACATCAGTATTTGAAACTTTTTTTTAATGAAAGTAAAAATATTTACCTGTAAAAGAACACTAATAGGATGTCGGCCACATATTGTATTGCCATATTTTTTGAGGTAATCGGTAAACATTGTAGGATTTAATGTCTCTATAATGTCCATACCCTGTAAGTTTTTATATATAAATAATAATATTAACAAGTTTCATTTGAATATTTATTTAAACTTATGAAATATTTGGAAATAAATAATGACATTATGCTTTGATTTTATATACCATTTTATCAAGATTTTGAATAGATCTATGAATAGGACCACAGGATCTATCATAATAAGTATAACGAAAACGCTGTCCCCAATGACAAAAATCAGAAGATATAACAAATAATGTTTGTGGATCAGCCATGTATGGTGCTAATAATCTTCCATAGAGTGCTTCTTTCTCTGGACTTAGTGAACCCACTAATATAGGAATTACTGTGAAAGAATCTTTAAACCTATATTGATGAAAAATTTGAAATAGAAAATAATAAATGAAGATGTAATAGTAATTATATTATATTAAACATACCCTTCCATAACTTTTGCAATAAATGGCAATTGCATCTCAATGCTATGTTCTTCTTCATCTGTATTTAAATCCATCCATTCAAAATGTCTAGTCTCTTCAAGTTCTCTGTACACTGTCACAAATGGAAACCTATATGAACTAATCTTTGATGGTAATTTATATTTAGAATTTATTTTTCATTTTCAATATAGTTTTATTTTCAAAATAGAGATAATTTTCTTCGTGTTTATATAAATGCTTTATATTATAAAATTTGTACCTTGCTGATCAATATGTAAATCATATAGTGGTGTTTGATAAATTGAAGCAGAAGAAAGAGCACAGCCTGCTAATCTGACATGATGTGATGGGCCAAGAATAAAAATTCTGCGTCTATATAATAATAATAATATATCTATTTAATTTCTTATTTCAAATAAATATACAAATATAAAAATATAAATAAAAACATAAAAAGCAATTAATGTCATGTTTTTATGAATGTACATAAATTTTTATATATAAATATAAAATTCATGTTAAGAATAATAATGAATAAAAAATATATTTATATAATTATTAAAAAATTTTAAATGTTTACTGTTCTAAAAATTTGAAGTTAATATCTTAGTACAAAAAATATGTATTTAATTGGTTAAAGCATGTCAAAATGAATTAAACTAATTAAGTATAAGATATAAAAACATGATAAGAAATAAATATAAGATTCTGGAATACGATAGTTTCAAATATCAAACTAAAAATTTGTTACATCAAATTGAATTACACTTTATACAGTAAATATTATGTAAAACATTAAAGGAAGGTATTTTTTAAAAAACTTACACAACTACAGGACTAATCTGGCGGTATGCAAAACCAGCACATGCTCCGCAATAGCTATAACCTGCATGTCTGTGAAATTTTGTTTGTATTTCAATAAAGATTCTTTAATCTAGTTGAAAATTATTGTAATGTACTATAATTACTGACGGGGCAATTATTGCCCTAGCAGGTCCATGTGATAAGTCTGCTGCACCCAACCAACCTTCTAATTGTTTATTTAAGTCCAATCCTATATAAAATATTCAAAGTATGTATTTCACAAAATAACTAACGTTGATTATTCAAGAGTAAATTAAGCTATATTTTATTTAAAAATGGTCTAGCAAATTTGAAAATGATGAAAATGTTTGTAATATATTAAAACTTATTGAAGTATTAACAATATCAATATTAAATGTAATTAAATATAACCTAAAATATAACAGATAATTTAGTAGAATTTAAATGCATATCAGCGTGTTATTGTATTAAAAAATATCGAATTTCAAAAGTATGAAGTTAAAGTGTTATTTGTCAACATACATAGGTATACTTGTACATAATAATAGGAATATACGCGAGAACGAAGGGAATCTAACAGATACCTTTCATTGAATTATAAATAAGCATTATTAAAATTAAATAAACGTAGAATATAGTTTAAATATTGCTTACCAGAGCCTGCGTACCAACTACCAGCATGAGTTGCTCTTCTAATTAATGCCATTTTTTCACTTTTATAACTAATTTTTATTTCCTCTGTTCACTTTCTTTTTCTTCTTTTCTTTTAATAATAAATATCGCCACGCTATAGTTATCGTATTCTTCTTACAATACAATTTTGTTTCGAGTGCCGACGATTAATCCTACTTATGTACAAAATGTTTATAAAACTCTATCACAAAACTTAACTTTTACTTAGCCATGAACCATACGCTTTTAATAACGTTGAACAATACATTGTACACAGCATATATTCTTTTGGAATGTAAGTGGTGCGAATATCAGGAAATCTACCTAGGAGATTTAATTTATGAGGAGAGCTTATACCTTTGCAGTTAAGCCAAGTAATGAAAATTTTTATACATCAGAGACGATTAAAATGTGGAATCTTACTAAGGGCATGGTGCCTATTCTCAGTGACAAATCAGAAGTATCTTTCACTGCAAAAAAACGTGATTGGTGTAAAAGTATTTCGATCGCTACGAAATAGATATCAATATGGTACCTTTTCTACGGATTAATTGAAATAATATAATATATAGAAAGTCGAAGTGAAACACCAGTATGTGTAATATAAAACAGAATAAATAATTAAACAGAAAAAAAAACAATCTATGAACAACGTCTATATGTACATACTGATATTTTCAATACATTAGCAAGAAACTGTAATTTTAATCTGAAATATGATTTTTCATCTCTCTTTTGAAGCTTATATGTATCTACAACAACAAAAGGGCAATTTCGTAACTTTGCTATGCTTTGTTGAAAAATAAAATATTCCTATATATTTTCTATGACTATTCCCTGTGATAATATTATATATTTTTATTTTATCTGAAAATATTACGCGTTATATATGCGATGTTTATTTAATTTGATAAATTAATAAATCCCTATGATATTATGGGATGAACGAGATGTTTCCTTGAAATCCGATATTTTTCATGTTAATTGGTATATATATTTTACCAAAACTATTGTTTTTTCGCAGAAAAGCATTTCAAATATAAAAACAAATAATTACCAATGTTAATCCAAGGCGTTTACCGGCCAGTAGATTTAGATTTAATTTCATTACATTAAAAGACCAAAAATTACATTTAAAGTATGCAATGTTCCAAAGACCGTGATCAACATTTCGTTAGTCATATTCAAGACTAAAATTTGACTTTCTGTCGAGTTATAATCACGTGATGTCGGTGAGATTTCAAACGCACAATTATACGTACGATATTTTCGGCGTGTGCGTATATTACTTGTAATATATCCCGTTGGTGATTATTTCGGTATCTGATTTGAACATCACCGTAGAAATGGTTATAATGGCAGAAATTCGTGTCTCTAGTGTTGTTTAAGTTTGTGGAACTGAGTGACAAAACAGACAGATCTATTTATTAAGATATAATTATTAACGTGTATAGAAATCTGATTCTCGAGGACTGCTCGTGCGGAGATCCTTTTCACAGAGAGAAACGCTAATTATTGATAACAACGTTTCCCCCCTATCATATTCATCCGAAGTCAACATCGACGTTTTTGTGTTTTTTTTTACGCTCATTTACTTTGTTTATTATGAATTCGATGAATTTTTTCGTGCACTGACTTAACGACGGATTCAATAATATAGGTAATTAAATCTGGCCTGTTTTCCATCAATATTTTGATCGCATAGATCTTATAACCTTTTGCCTTCATTGTGCTCCTTTTGATTTCTATCTTTGCAATATCAAAATCGCCGATCTTCGGCCAATGTTTTTGCTGATTCGCAAATCCTTTGCGTGTACAGTAATTGTAATTATTAAAGTATTAACAGAACGTTCAGAAGAAAAATTATCTAATTATTTTCGTTCTGTTATTACACTGTTGTGTTTGCAATGATCAGAGTAACATTAATAGTATCCTGATGTCCTATTAATTTTTCAACATAAAGATATGAACGTAATTTAAAACAGTCGTCAAATTAGCTTGCAAATGCTTATAAAAATATGCACATCTTGGAAACTAAATTCTAGAACATTGTACATTGTATGATGTAAAATTATTGTTATTAGCTTGAATTTTATACACAATGTTGATTAAAATTTTTATATTTTAGTTTCTAATGAATAAGTGCATTCTTATGAGAATTTGTTTTCATAGAGAAAGTGATTTGTTTATAAAATGTAAAAGCTTTTCCTCAGTGTTTAATAGTATAGTTTTCTTCAATGGTAGTGTAACATGTATTTACATAAGCAAATAATGTGTAACATAATGTATTTACATAAGTAATTTAAGACGTAAACAAATATTTTATATATATATAAGAATATAGATTATATGTATGATGTACATTTCTCGAAGTAATGCTTAAAGCATCTTCATAAAAATAAATTCTTTACTTGCCAATAGGTCCACTCTCATTTTTTGTCTTCGATTTTGATATGACCATTGCCATGGTGCTGTGATAAAGAGGTAAAAGTATAGAAATAAGTGTAATTGAAATTGAAAATAATAGAACAAAGTATCTAATAGTGATTAATAATTGCTGTTTCTATATTAAAGTTTCTGTCTTTACTTTGTTTTCGCAGGTTGCTATTAGGAGATATTGTCATGGATTGTCTTTGGTTCTATGAAATTGAACAAGTTATAAGTGATGCGATAGAAAACAAGTGATTGTGGTAATTGACATAAAAGTGTGTCGGTGTGCCCTAGCAGGTACTTTGTAGTGGAGCCACCAGGCTATGGCTAACCTGAACTTTGAGCAGCCACCACGCAGTATTGCGAACGCAAGCCTTACATCGCGCACAGGTGGTGGGGGGGGCTTAAATTCATCAACCCTTACGGGTCATGTCACACCTACCTCGGGCATGTTCTCAGGCTCATCTGCAAGCACTTCCAGTTCAGCTAATTCTGCGGTAGTAGTTACTAACGTTTATCCTGGAGCATCAGGAGCAGGAGGTGGACAAAATAGTCATCAACCTCAACAGCAACAGCTCTCTCCTATGGGCAGCAGAGGACTGTTTGGACAGAGAGCTTTTACAGATAGACGTACAATGCCTGCTCTTGGGTTAGTTTCCTCATTCCATATAGGAATCAGTTGAAATACAGTTTTGTTATAATGTTATAATGTACATTTTGTTATGTATCCATTATAATAATTCTACATATAAAACGAATAAAAATATTAATACAAATTTATAGAGCATCAAATCCAATGGGTAGCATGGGCACATTTGGAATACCTCAAAGTCGAAATTACGGATCTCAAATCAATAATTTTCACTCTGTTTTCGGCAGTGGAGGAGGTGGAGATACAAGTACTCCTCCATTGTTAGATTTATCTGAATTTCCCTCATTAACAAATAGAGGACAGGGTGATTCTATGCCACAACCTAGTCCTATGCCAGGCAAACAGCCTTATGGTTTGTATTTGTAATAATTTAGATTTTAATATACAAATGAGTGTAATTGTATGTAATTTTTACATAAATATTTTGTGATAATTGTAGTTGGAATGGTAAAACAACCAACATCTGAATCAAGTGAATTCACAATGAGTTCTGAGGATTTTCCAGCATTGCCAGGAACACAAAATAGAGAAGGACCATCGCCGGGCGGAAGTGTTTCTGGGGATAAAAATATACCTGTTGGACTTGGTCCTGAAATTGGACAAGATGTATTGCAGGCAAATAGAGCACCTGGATCTGAAAAGTCTCAATCATCTAAAAGAGGCATACAAACATCTCCTGATGGTATGACAATAATTATTATTATAACTTGTATTTCGTTTTATTTCATATAATTATCGTTATACTTTTTCAGGCAAGGTGACTAATATACCAGCTAGTATGGTAAAGGACCAGTTTGGAATAGTTGGGTTGTTGACATTTATTAGGGCAGCTGAAACAGATCCGAATCTAGTATCTTTGGCATTAGGCCAAGATTTAACCGCGTTAGGATTAAATCTTAATTCAACAGAAAGTCTTTATCAAAATTTTGGTGGACCTTGGGCAGAAACACCGTGCCGACCTCAGGATATTGATTTTCATGTACCACCAGAATACCTTATTAATGCCTCTATCAGGTGCCTTATTTTGTCAACGTTGATTTTTATATGAATACGAATTGTCATAGCAATTAGACGCGTATATTTTATTTTAGAGATAAGCTAGCACCGGTTAAACTAAATCGGTACAAGGATGATCTACTATTTTATATGTTTTATACAAATGTTGGAGATGTATTGCAATTAGCAGCAGCAGCGGAGTTGTAAGTATTTTTCATGTTGAAATTTTAGATTCTTTTCTAATAGACTTCTAATAATATGTACGATTTGAAACATGAAGGTACAGTAGAGAGTGGCGATATCATATGGAAGAAAAAGTTTGGATAACACAAGCACCTGGATTGGGACTTGTGGAAAAGACATCAACATATGAACGTGGTACTTATTATTATTTTGATGCGCAAAGTTGGAGAAAAGTAGCAAAAGAATTTCATTTGGATTATACGAAACTAGAAAGTAGACCTCATCTTCCCACAAACTTTCATCAAATCCAGCCTTGACTACAGGTATCTATAAAAATTCAATGCAATACAATGAAAAAAGAATTATAAATATCTCTATTGAAAATATATATTTATTTATTTTTATTGAGAATTTATATATTTATTACAGATCTGCTTGCAGACCATTGTACTGTCTTTAAGCTGGACAGGAAGCTATTGTATAAATGAACAAATTTAATAATCTTTAATAAAAACATAAAATTTGAAGAGTATAGAAATGAAGTTCTTTAATTATTGACTCAGTTAGAAATGGAAATGAGTCTATTTGATATTGACATGATATTAATGATTTTGATACGTGATTCTATGTTTTAAATGTTTAGGTGCTTATGTATAGAATGATGTACTTTTTGATAATATTATAGTGATGATTAGAATTTCGGCAATGTATATAATAATAAAAATAACACAAACAGTTGTATCATTGAACAAAATTTTGACACTTAGGCAGCTCAAAATGCAATCTGTCCACAAGTTCTGCACCTATGTGATTATTTACTTTATACCTATGTAATTTTTTAGAAATGTAAATGAAATGTTTTTTAAAAAGCGAATTTACACTTTATAAGATGTCAATAAATTAAATTGTTTTTATTATTTGTCAAAATTTATGAAATATATTAATATTTCATGTAATGTAAATTTTTGAATGTAAAAAATGTTTTCAGACGCAAAAGAAAATATTTAATTAAAAATGGTATGATACAAGAATGTAATTGTTTAAAATTACAATTTACAAAATTTTCAAATTACTTCAAGTTCAAGCGAGTTTAATTTTAATAAGTATAACTTACAACTCACAGTAATTTTAACCTTATTGTACATACGAGTTAAAAATTCGAAAATGTAAAATAAAACTTACATTTAAAAAATACAAACTAAAAACGTAAATATAAAAATAAAATATATAAAAGCGAATTTTTTTAGGTTTATTAACGTTAATTAAACAAATTTTTAAGTTAAATACATTTTATTTTTAAATTTCTTGGTAATATTTTTATTTTTTTAAATTTTTGTTTTAATATTTCAATAATGTTCTTTATCGAATCGTAATTTTAATAAATAGACTTGTTATTATACACCTATTAAAATTTACTACATATGACTCAATTCCATTTCTAGTTTATAATTGTACCATTATTTTATTTTCCTTCTATTCTGTTACATATAAACTTTTACTTATATATTTTCCACATTAGTTCTGGAAAAGCTTGTATAACTTGTTGTTTGCAAATATAAAATTTGTTTTATAATTTTTTAATTGAGGTAGCAAGATTAATTACATCTTCCGATGCATTTATAAAATAATTTTCAATATAATTTTGGCTATGTTTTTCACATTCATCTAGGTAATATCTGTTAAAATAAATATTTAATTAAATATAAAATATAATATATTCAATTATATTTGAAAACATATAAATTAAATTACCTATAGTTTACCATAATTCCACAACTATTTCCAACACCTCGTGGTGAAGGATCGGCTAACCAATTTATTCTCCACATAACAGCTCCATTACGAAGATGAAAGTTTGCTATAATATAAAATATTAAATATTAAATTTATATTAATGTTGCCTTTGAAAATTTGATTTTTGACAATCAACTTACCAACATTGTTTAAAGCATAATTTCGTCTTTTTTCTTTATATAAATACCACGCACATACTCTAAGTAATGGGTTTCTCAAAACTTCACATATTGCAACGTCACGAGTCCATAACGAATTATTAAGAATTTTTTTTAAACCCAAAACAATATTTTCTTCATTTAAAACCTTTTGTACAGATTCATATTCTTCATCTGTGAAGACATTATGTATATCTAAAAAGAATTTTGAATCAAGGTATAATGTACTCTACTTACGAGATTCACTAATTTATTAATATTAATAACTTTTATCATTATTTGAAATAAATTCTATGTACCTTGTTTTATTTTTTCTAAAAACCAAGTTCTAAAATTAGGTATTGGTGATAAAGTGGACAATTCATTTATCATAGGAAATTCTGATATCACCTTTTTGGCTACCTCTTTTATCAAATAATTACCAAGTTCAATACCCTAGGAAGAATCGAAATTTTTTTTAGATATTTATGCATTTCTAGATATTTATATACTTACTTGTAATCCCTTCTGTGTGGAAGATATTGAATAAAATACTGCAGTTTTTATTTTACATTTATCTTCTTCTAAAAATGTTATTTCTGTTTTCGGATTACCAAGAATTCTGACTTTTGCATCTTCAATACCTCTTACACTATCTATACATTGATATGTCTTTTACTATAATATGTATTTATTCATTGTACTGTATTTAATTTAATCTGTACAATATGTTATTTATTAAGATGATATACCTGGTATAATATCACATAATGCTGAATGTAATACAACAAGAGGTTCTCGTGGCATAGATGGATGAGTAAAAATGTAACATCTTCTATATGGCCCAACTCTTTGTTTCAAGTCTAACCAATTTTTTATAGGATGTATTGCTTCATAATCTGAAATCTTATAATTTACAAATAAGAAGAAATACAAAACATGTAATACTGTTTGCTTTTCATTTTATTTTTTAAAATTAGATAGTAATAATTATACTTTTTGTAGAATGTCACATGAAGTGTGCCATGTTATTCTTTCTAAATGTAGAAATCCAACTGAGAACCAGAGTAACAATAAATCACGTAGAGTAATATTCAGCTGCTGGATTGCAATACTTTCATCTGTGTCTTCAGTTTTCAATATTAATTCCTAATAGAAATATTTATGAATGTAGAATAAAAGATGTTTAATTTATATATATTTTATATGTGTACATATATGTATTTGTGTAAAAAATATATTTTTATATATATAATAAATATAATTAAAATATTTAATCAAATATTTAAACATTTAAATCATTAATTTTATCGTGTGAAAAGTGTTACATTATTTGTGTCATTTTAAATTGCTTACTAATATATCTGTCCTTAAATCAACAAGAAATTTTACACCACTCTCAAGTCTTCCAATTATAATAAATAGCCACTGATAATCTGGAGTTAAAGCATTTTTTAAATTTCGTTCATAGAAAACCATACGTCTTTCACTGTCTGTCTAAAAAAAAAGAAAAACAGATTGGATAATTGCAGGTATTTTTTACATTTGTTACATATGTTTCATGATGTTACGATTAACGAAGAATTTAATGCAATATAAAGCTATTTTATTTAATAAAACATTAGCAATATACAAACCTCTGTAGACAGAAATTTTTCTGCTATATTACATACAACAGCATGTTGAACAGCATATTTAAACGCTAAGGTACGTAAAATTTTTTGCTTGTCATCTTTATCACTTCTTTGGTATCCACTGCATAAAATATGAGCTTTGTTCTAAAATAAAATTTTAATTCTATTTTATTTTAATTAGTGATTTTACATACATTATATACATAGAAATATTGTAGATTAAAATATATTTACTAACACTTTTATTATATTTGCAATTTAGGTTACATTAAATTATCATATACGAGATGGTAATTTTATTACATTTTCATTCGGTTAAAAAGATAAAAATAACACGTTATATTAAAAAATAAATGGAATTCCAAAGTTAAAAACATTTTTATTGTTACAAATCATACATATTGTTACTTAACATGTTATAACCTTACGCTATATACAATAATATTATAAACTGAACATAACACAATATGATTTTTACTTATTTCAATTCAGAACTATCGTTGTCTCAAAAGACTTGAAATATGTCAAAAATGTTAATATATTTGAAGAACGAGGATTTAAATGATAATCTTAGAGTATATCTACTAAACAAAATATAATAAAATTGAAACGTTTAGCTCACTGATTTATGTGGAACATTTCTGATATTTACCCGTCAATAATTGTTAACTATAAATCAAGTAAAATTCACAAAATATTTAAAAATTTGCATTACTAACCTCAATGATCCAATTACTAACATTACTGTTCTTAAATTTAAATATTTCTTTCAATTGATTTTCAAGGGAGACAGTTTCGCGAGACGTAGAATGATGTAAATTTTGTATAAAAAAAGATTTGAAAATCTTTTGTGTTGCATTACTCTTTAAAATATGTTTATTGCGATAAATATCAATGAATGCTTTCAAATGTATACTTCTGAATATCATATTTACTACTGACAATTACATTGAAAAAAAAAAATTTTTTTTTTAGTTACTTTAAATTACAGGATATCAGAATATAATTGTTTTTCCAATTTAATTACGTTCTTCGATTATTCCCAATCGAATACGACACACACATCTTTTATTATCAATATTCACATTGAAAAAACAATGATTAGATAGCATTAAAATATTAAATGTTTTTTATACATACATTAAGTGAAATACTTGGCCAATCAGAGAGTTAAAAGACAATTGTCATTAATATGCAATGAACTAAAAAAGAATTTAATTAGATAAAACAAATGGAATGCAAATATCTTTTTGTCATTTTTCATCTTGAAAAAAGATGCATTCTTTCATTGATTACAACATTGGTTATTTGTTCAATGCACGTCAGAAAATTTGCATAAAAGTGGAACGTCAGATTCAAACATACGCATTGTAAAAGGAAACAGAATGTGAAAAGTTCTTTTTGGTAATAGTTCCGAATTTTTCCTTTGTTTTTATTCCTCTATGACAAGTACACCGCACTGTGAAAAATCTGTATAACGTGAGACAGTTGGCAATCATTGCTACTAAAACGGTGTTACAGTCAGAGTGATCATGATACGTATTTAATTGCAGATCGATCAAAAACAAATTTCACGAAGCGTATATATATTTTCGAAGATAAATGTGACCCTTTATCAATGTACAGAATGCAGATAGTGCATTTCTTTTGGGGTCTCGTTTGGTACATTCTGTATATTTGTCAAGGTAATTTCACTACACATCTACCCACTGTTTCGTGTGACAATTATTCAGTTTTGTAATTACACCCATTTGTTATCTTGAGTTGTGACAAGTTACAAATATTTTATCAGCCTTCTTTCGTGTTACAGTCAATGCTGACTATAATATAGTATTAACACACGATGGCCCTGTGGTATTAGGTGGAACTATTACGTTTAAAGCTGACATCTTCAACAATAATAAAAGACCATCAGGGACATTTAATTATAAATGGCGTGATAATGCATTAAGTCCTCATAAATACGAGGTTAGCTCTCTTGTTTATTGCAATAAATAAATATGTCTTTTTAAAAAAACAAATGAATTTGATGAGAGTATAATTTCTTGTGGTGTAGTGTTAAGTAAATTTAATAAGTTCAGTTCAGTTTTCCCTTAGACACTTCATGCAAGACATTAAATGTTAATTTTTAATATGTAATTTTGATGTTTCAGACAGGAAGCACATCAAATACAACAACGTATTGGAGTTTAAACATTTCTCATGAAAACTATACAATTGGAAAATATGAAGTTGAAGTAATACTTTATGAGAATAGGTTCTTGTGGTGGGAACTTACCAGTGTCCGTACTGATTTTCATGTCACTCGTAAGTTAAAAATTTTTTAACATCTTTATGTCTTATCTCTTGTGTATCTTTGATTTAATGTCTTAACAGAATTTCTCAATGGAGATATCAAAGTTATACAACCCAACAAAACGTCAGTCGATACATATGTGTCATCAGCATTTGAAGCAAATGTGACAATAACTATAAGAAAAGGAGATATGGATTACTTGATGAAAGCCACATCGGTATTAATCTATTGGTTTATTGATTGCAAATATTTCGGTCAAACAAGTGACTTGAGTTTTCTCTACAATTTTACAATTCCTGATACATCACACATATTAGAAGCTTTGGTAGTTGCATCATATGATTTACCGACAACGACTACAACTGCTTTACCAATAATAACAACTACCCCTTCTAATGCAACTGTGCCAAATATTACGATATCAAATGTTACAATAGAACAAATAGTAACTACTACCATATCCAGTGATAACTTAAGTATAAAACCAATGTCAACATCAACAATAATACCAGCACCTCTAAATGATGCAACAAATATTAGTATTTCCAATGTAAATAATATTTCTTTACCTTACATCTGTTCCAACTCTTCGATAATCCCACCAGATCCTAATAAAACATATGGGCACTTCATCAAAAAAATTGATGTTCGTGGTGAGTAACATATTATACAAAATTAAATAAAGTAGTGATATTCAGATTCAGTTGTAATAATAGTTATAACTTGTAAAAATTTTAGCACCCATAATGAATATAACAGTAGAGGGTACAAATTGGATTCAACCATGGGATATGTTATCTCTGAATGTGTCATGTAAAGGTTCAGGACCTTTTAATAAGTGCCTTTATTTTCATAGAGGAAAGTATAATGTTACTGGAAATGAAACATGCGATAGTGGAGATAATCTTTATTCTTGTAATTTTTCCATTATCCATTATTTTTTGGAACCTAGCGTATATACAATATTAATTATATTAAATAATGATGTCAGTAAACAAATCTATCCTTTGACAATAAATATTTATAAAGGTATATATTACTAATGATAATATAAGAATATAAATTTTCTTTTATTATAAAACTAATATTAATTAATTTAATTGTAGTAACAACAAAGCCACAGTTATCGGTGATTGTGGTACCTGTTTCTTGCTCACTTGCTGCTGTGGTACTCATTATCTTTGGCATCGCGTATTACATACAAAATAAAGCAAGATTTACAGTGGAAGTTGCAGATTTTGACTTTGGCCAAAATAATCCAGAAATGGAATATAAAACATTTACAGAACGTTTAAGAGATTCAGTTAATAATGCTATAAGACCAGGAAGCAAACGGATAAGTGTACGCCAGCCCTATTATGGCAGCATGAATCACTAACAAGTACAAACTGTACAAACTATATACTCCTTGACTGTCAACAGTTTTAATCACACATTGCAAAATAATGTTAATGTACTAGTGTCTTACATGTAGTAGTATCTCGATAAAATGATGGGAACTATTTTCATCAGATCATTTGAGTAACTGAAGTAACACAACATTTTTATTTTATATCGGCAAAAATTCTTATTTTTTGATGGATATTGAAAATATTTGAACGTCTTAACATTATTTCATTAAAAACATACGTCATTTTATCAAATATTATCATGTACTTTTATTATTCTTTACTTCTAAGCACTAAACTATACTTTGCTTCTGCATTGCTATTCTTTCTCAATCTCTCATTTCTCCTGCACTTATTTTATTTACAATTTATTTATTGTTGTATTTCATATACAGTGCATCTAATTTTAATGGAAGTGATTAAATATCTCTTCTAATTTTTTTACTTCAATCCAGTTTATATTATTTTTGGAAAGTAAAGTTTCTGTTATCTTAAAGTAATCAACGTTTTTATAAATTTCAGGGTTACAAGCCTCTTAATAATTCTCAAACTGTTCAGTAATGCTTAAAATGGAGAACAAACATAATTGAATTGTCAAGCATTCGGATTAAAAGCTATGGGAGATTGAACAAGCGAGACAGAAATTAAAACGAAATGCAAGGTTCTCGAAGTAATATCGTACAGCATTTTTAAATATCAAACAATTTAATCAGAAAACTCTATCGTTAACAATATGAGTTTATTCATTCCAAGGGACTCGTGAAATAAAATTCAACTTGTATATAGATTAAATAAATATTGTGTATATAGGCTGTGAGGATAGTATGCAATAAGATTGAGCTTTCAATGTTCTGCGGAAACGAAATTTTAACGTTAATTTATAATAGTTTTTCTAAAGTTTTAATATTTCAAAATTACACGGGGACACGTTTCTTTCTACTTAATCGAGGTTTATTGGATTCATGTACATACTATACTCGTCTCACGTATCACAAGAAAAATATTGGTAAACACTTATACAATTATACCGAAGCATGTAGATTATCAATTAAAAAAAAAGAAAAAAAAAACATTGGTAAACAGGAAGGTGTAACAAGTATTCGAACAATGTATTCGTACTACGATTTTTCTGTATTATGTATGTGTGCTTCTGCGCATATGCGTGTATGCAATTTGCACATTCGTACGTAGCATTAAGTTCTATTACCTAGATGTATCAAAAGTATTTGAAATAAGTTATTTAACTAAAACTACTTGTAAAACTGATTAAATTAGATTGCGATTTCAATGATTCAATTATAAAGTGACCTATTGAATAGTATTTAATAAATAAAAAACGTTCTTGTAAAACTTTTTATACATTATTCGCTGTCATTATGTACATACAAGTTTGCGTTTATGTGTGTAAGTGAGTGATTTTGGTGCACGCAAAGGTGAAAAAGTTAAAAGAAAAGGAGAAAAAAAAAAAGAAAACGCGAAAGACAAGTAGCGCCATCTGTAGACAATTGCTGCGATCAAAAAAACCAAGCGTTCGCGAGAGTTCATTGGTAACGTCGTTAGAAATCTAAGATGGCGGCTGATGAAGTAAACTTACGAAATTGTGCTCTGTTAAAAATCGTTCGTGATTTTGTCGTTTATTGAACATTGTCAGTTGACAATTCCGATTCGTCTTTATGTAATATCGGTCTAGGATCACTCAACAACCGAAACGTGCCACGCGAGGAAGTGAGGATATAAACATTTCTCGAGCCACGGGCTTACAATGTCAGTAATCGCCTCAAAGCCATGCCACGAGAAAGAGAATTTAAAATCGACGGAGGAGGATGATTGGAAGATGCAGCTCGCATTTTGCAAACCGCGGCACACCGCGACGATCGAAGGTGTGAATTGTATCACGCAGACATGGAGGATGAAGGAACGGGTTTGTTGCTTTTTTTCTTTTCTTCGGCCTCTTTTCTCTTTCTTTTTTTTGAGTTGATCTAGTCTAAAAACATTGTGTACTCCTGACTCCATTTGGCAGAGTCTGACAGATTTCTATTTTTTTTTTTAGATGAAAACCGTGAGCGTGGCTCTGGTTTTGTGTTTAAATGTCGGCGTTGATCCACCGGACATTGTCAAGACGCAACCGTGCGCTCGTCTTGAATGTTGGATCGGTATTTATTTTGGTTTATTTACATCCCCATAACGCCCTGCCGTCCTTATGTAATGTGTTTTGAGGTTATACATGTGCATGACAGCAATCCGTAAATGAATGATTTTAATGAGTAACTGCTAGATGGCGTTATATTTATTACTAATTTGAATATTTCATTTGCATTACGAGCGAATTTGCTTCCCTTTCTCTGTTTTTTTCGTCGCGTGTGCGAACGAAGATTGTTATAGATTTCTAGTTGTCTCATCCGAGCAATCTTATTACGATTCTGAAAATTAATCAATATTGATTAAAGTTGATGCAATAATAATTTCTTTAACTTTACAGATCCTTTGTCAGTAAGTCCACAGAAAGCTTTAGAAACTATAGGTTCCAATTTGCAAAAGCAGTACGAACGATGGCAACCAAGAGCTCGCTACAAACAAAGTTTAGATCCCACCGTCGAGGAAGTTAAAAAGTTGTGTACTTCCTTAAGACGAAACGCGAAGGAAGAAAGAGTTCTGTTTCATTATAATGGTCATGGTGTTCCTAAACCTACTAGTAATGGTGAAATATGGGTATTTAATAGAGTCAGTAAAGCCAAGCATTTTAATTGATATAAACAATAATTCAATAAATATAACGTTTGATTATTGTTGCAGACATATACACAATACATTCCTTTGTCTGTATATGATTTACAAACATGGATGGGCGCACCTAGCATCTATGTATATGACTGTTCCAATGCAGGTATTATTGTAGAGTCCTTTCAACAATTTGCAGAACAACATGAAAAGGAATATGAGGTAGTCCAATAATTTTGGAGAGGTTTCGATTAAAGATAACCATTACATATAAGTATATGGGACATGTTGTTTTGCAGATGGAAAAGCAAGCAGTTCAGCAGAATCGTGCGACTGGGGTTGCAGGTGCTATTGCACCATCCTATAAAAATTGTATTCAATTGGCAGCATGTGCAGCTAATCAAATTTTACCTATGAATCCAGATTTACCTGCGGACATATTTACATCGTGTCTTACAACTCCAATAAAAATAGCATTACGATGGTAAGATAAAAGTACAATTTGTTGATACATAAACTTTAATATAAAATTTTATATGATGCTCAACATTTTTTTTACAGGTTTGTTATGCAAAATACATCGAAATTAGTACCAAAAATATCATTAGATTTAATTGACAAGTAAGAATATTTTATACATTTATAGTACTCGTGTATATAACATTTTCTTCAATAAAATCTTGCAATTATCATAAATAAATTTTAGAATTCCAGGACAATTGACCGATAGAAGAACAATGTTAGGAGAACTTAATTGGATTTTTACAGCAATTACTGATACTATAGCATGGAATACATTGCCAAGAGGTAAATTTATATACTATATTTCTAGACTATGTATAAATGTGTGTATGTATAAATGATACACATTAAATATGTTCAATTTATAGATTTATTTCAGAGATTATTTAGACAAGATTTATTAGTAGCTAGTCTGTTTAGAAATTTTTTACTTGCTGAAAGAATACTTCGCTCATACGATTGCACTCCAGTTTCTTGCCCAAAACTACCACCTACTTATCAGGTAAATGAGAAGAAATTGTAATCTTAATATTTCTCTAAAACGTATTTCTCATATTTATTATTATATTTTTATTAATATATTTATCTTTCATTAATTTAGCACCCTATGTGGCAAGCATGGGATTTGGCACTTGATCTCTGCTTAGCACAATTACCGTCTATTCTTGAAAATGAAGATCAGTTTATGCACTCGCCCTTTTTTGAAGAACAATTAACAGCTTTTCAAGTATGGCTTACACTGGGTTCTAAAAATCGGAATCCTCCAGAGCAACTGCCAATAGTACTACAAGTATTATTAAGTCAAGTTCATAGATTAAGAGCATTAGAATTACTGGGGCGTTTCCTTGATCTTGGCCCATGGGCAGTGAATTTGGCTCTTAGTGTTGGCATTTTCCCATATGTTTTAAAATTACTTCAAAGCAATGCCAGAGAACTACGTCCGTTACTTGTTTTCATTTGGGCGAAAATTCTTGCAGTTGATAGTGTAAGTTTCAATTTTAATAATTTTAATATTTATGTTGGTCTTTTTAAAAATTATTCATCATAGACTGTTATGTGGTCTATTTATTATAGACTTTATTTCAGACTTGTCAAGCAGATCTGGTACGAGATGGAGGGCATAAATATTTTCTATCTGTTCTTCAAGATACTTCTATACCGGTATTACATTATTATACATAATTTTATTTTTAATTTAAAAATTTTTAGTTTCTTTCATATAAATATTATTTTATTTTATTTTAGAGTGAACATAGAACGTTAGCAGCATTTGTTTTGGCTAGCATTGTAAATGACTATCGACCGGGTCAGGTAGCTGCAAATCATGGTAGTCTTGTTTCAATTTGTCTGGAACAACTTGGAGATTCAAATGCTTTGTTAAGACAATGGTTATGTTTATGCCTTGCGAGACTTTGGCATAATTATGACAAAGCAAGATGGTGTGGAGTCAGAGATATTGCTCATGAAAAATTATTTACATTATTACAAGACCCCGTTCCTGAGGTATAGAACTTACTTATTTAAAGTTTGGTTTTAATATTTATACATAACGATAATGATATACTTAAGAGAGGAACAAAATATTATAGGTTCGAGCAGCTAGCGTTTATGCTTTGGGAACATTCATAAATAGTGTAACGACACGAAGTGAGCATGCAAATAATATTGATCAAATCATAGCTATGACGCTTATTAATACCGTATCTCATGATATGTGTCCCTTAGTTAGAAAAGTATGTAAGTTTATTATATAATAATACATGATTTTAATTATAAGCTTAATATTCTTAATATAAAAACAAACTATGAATTATTTTACAGGAATTAGTAGTAGCACTTCAATGGATGGTATTACATTTTGAAAATTCCTTTGTAACATTAGCATTAGCTGAAGAAAATAGCCGAAAAGACCTCGTAGTGGAGACATTATCGCCGTTTAGTGGAATGAGACGCATTAGTTCTAGAGATAGATTAAAAATGCTTTCTCCGAACAACACGTATAGTGCGGACAGTACAGAAGGATTTGGTCAGGATCGTATTAAGAGAGTGTCGTCGTCGTCATCTATTAGTAGTTTAGGTAAGTAATATAATACAGTTTATCGTTGTTAGCTAGAGTTACTAGCTTCATTGCCCGATTTTCGATAACAGTTCCTTGTATTGTTTCATTCGTGTGCCAGGAAATAATTGGGAGTTCGTGAGGAAACCTTGCGAGTCACTTGGTAATAATGATTGGAAATTCCATTGCATGTTCGTACATAGTTCATCCTTCATTTTTTAGATTTTGTAATTTTTAATTTATAGCAAATGCTATATCACTATTTTGTTATTTACAAGCACATTATTGTAAAGACCTGATATTTTTTTATATTCTTAAAAACAAAATGCTATAAATTGTGTGTTTTTTTTTATTACTTATAGGACACAGTTCTCTTGGAAATTTACCAAGTCTTTCCTATGGTAGTGTATATATGAAATTGTGGCATGGATTGTGCAGTCTTGATAGTGATCCTCATCCAGCAGTTGCTACTATGTCTCAGAAGGTCACTAATCATATTCGAAATCAGGTAAATGTGATGTGATTTAAAAATAATTATATTAATTTCTATTGGAATTTAATAAAAAATAGTAAAATATTTCTAAAGGTTAAAGAATCTTCTGCACCTAAAGAGGTAATTGAAACAAAAATATCTTCATCATTGTCTCTTCCGCCTTCTCCTTCAAATCGTACTACATACTTAAGGTTAGTAAATATTTAATATATTTTTACGTGTAATTCCTATGACGTTATGTTTAATTTCTTAATATGTAATAAAGTAATACCAAAGGAGAATCACCGCCTACGGTAAATTCTGGAACAGATTTGTTACGCTCATCAAGAATACCATTGCATAGTAATCGTTCAAGAAAACCTATTCCTAATACAGTAAGAATTAATTGATGTATCATTGATCTTACTTGAAAATTATCTGATGTATTATCCAGAATATTCATATTTATAATATCATTTTATTGTAGATTTCAGAGGAAGCAGATGAAGTTGCTGGAATTAAAACACCGTTAACAACTTCACAGTTTGTTGAATGGAGTTGTGCTCAATTTGCTCAACCTGTTAGTTTAGAAATTGAAACTGAATCAATGAACGACATGGAAAGTAGAGCACATTATGAAAGAGAGTGGCGGTACGAATTCTTCTTAATGTAATTACTTTTTTTTAAAGCGGAAAAACTAACTTGCAGTTTTCAACATTTAGGTACTTAAGAAATAAGAAACAAAGACGTGAAGCAAGAGAAGAACAATTACGCTCAGTACAAAGTAGAGTAGAATCCCAAATATTTCATACAAGGTGTTCACATTCTCCAGAAGTTCTAACATTTCATCCATTTGAACCTCATTTGGCTGTAGCATTGAAAGATTACTTTGGGTAGTTAAATTTCAATATGGTCTAATATTATTATTATTATTATTATTATTATTATTATTATTATTATTATTATTATTATTATTATTATTATATGAAATATAATATTACTTAACAAAATTATTTATTTATAGGATATGGGATTATCAAACTGGTGCAAAATTAACTTATTGTGCAAGTCATGGAAATAAAATGTCACGTATCACAGCGCTGGAATTTATTAATGCTCATGATGTAACGTTATTAATGGCTGGATCTGACGATGGTTCGGTTAGAGTGTGGAAAAATTATAGTAGCATGTTAAATCGCGATCCAGTTTTACTTACTGCTTGGCAAGCAATAGTTGATATACAACCTGCAACAAAAACAACGACAGGTATGTATACATATTCTGAGACATAACTGTGTCTGTTGCAATTATATACATTAATTAAAATTGTTTGTAGCAACAGCTGGCTTAGTTACTAAATGGGAGCAAAAATCCCTTACATTAGCTGTAACGGGTGATGTTCGTATTGTTAGACTATGGGATGCAGAGACTGAATTAAAGAAACAAGATATACCAACAGGTGCTGATTGTTGTGTTACGTGCATTGATGTTGATGGCGTAGGTTAGTTCCTTACATATAATTACGTAAGAACAAACTGTGCATGTAAAACATTTATTAAGTATAAAATATGATAGAAATAAATATTTCATTTAATTATATATAGGTGCAATGATGGCAGTAGGTTGTGGAGATGGTTCAGTTCGTTTATTTGATAGAAGATTGCCCCCTTTAGAATCAAGAGTTATGATTTGGAGAGAGCATACAGCATGGGTGCTAGGCACATCTTTGAGAAAATGTGAAAGATATGCGCCACAACTATTCACTGGATCATCTTCAGGAGATATTAGAATATTTGATCTCAGAAAAAATTCTTCCGTAAGCACTGTACAGATAACACAGGGTATCACAGCATTGGCAGCACATGAAATGGCGGATATTTTTGCGTGGTACGTTTAGAATATTGATAACTAAAGTCATGATTAGTAAATTTATATAGATTATTTCAGAAGTATTTATGTATGTTTCAGTGGATCGACGAATCACTGTATAAGTGTATACAACACTATGGGTCAAAACTTAAACACAATAAAATTTCATGAAGGATTTATGGCCACTCGTATTAGCCCTGTAAGTTGTTTAAGTTTTCATCCTTATCGTGTGATTCTAGCAGCTGGTTGCGTAGACAGTACCATCACAGCATATGCGTCTGAACCACGCAGATGACTAATAGAGATGGAATTGTTGTAAAATTATTTTTATAAATACAAACCCATAGTACTTGATACTCTTAGCACTAATAGTCAGTAAAAAGAAATGTTAAGAGTGTAATGTTGAATTTTATTTGAAAAGTCAGAGGTGAATTCTTATTTTTCACTTGTGCTACTGCGTTTTTTCGTGCATAAAACCGTCTTGCTTCGGGATTCATTGATATAGAGTTCTTGTGAATAGTTCTTGTGATTACAAAACTTGTGAAGTAACCAAAGTCTTTAGAGACGACCAAAGAGAAGATAATACAAACTATATGTGCAAGAACAAAGTAATATTTTGAAACGCAGTTGAACAAAAAATTTGATGTTCTTATATGAATATGAATATATGCGTATGTGATGCAACGAAAAAGATTTGAATGCATGTACGAATGTGTTTAATATTTAATAAAGCTAACCTTCGCAAGGAAATAACCTTGATTACTGTGCCATGCAAAATTAATTCCAATTAATTGATTACGCTCTTATGTAAATTCAGATAATGTAATATTTAATTATTTTTCACATATCAATAAGTTTTTCCCTTAATTTTCATTTTTACAAAATTTTAAAGGAAAGAGAAGTTTTTATATCAAAGCTCTTTTGGAAAATATCTATAAACATTTTTTTATTCTACGATAAATATGTTACAATAAAATTAAAAAAAAAGTATGAGGATAATATTTTATTTAAATAATTTAATTACATTATTTTAGTTTATGATTAATGCAATAAACTACTAGATCAATAGTAACAAAAAAAAAAAAAAAACGAAATTACCTAAAATGGCAACTATATGAAATGCAGTGTTTTTATACTAATGAATAGTCTTTGTATACGTAATATTATGTGTACTTTATTTGTAAATTTTTTCATCGTGAAATTTTTCGTTGCAATTTTAAATAAAAAATTGTTTTTGTAAATATGTATTATGTATTTATCAACATGTAGTTTAAGTAGTAATGCTTTGTAAGCACTTTGCAATTGGTGAATATCTCTTATGTGTTAAAAATTTGAAAAGTTTGAAAGAAAATGCCTTCTCAATTTGAATAATTAAATAAATACATATAATTTATATTCAATTAATTAATGTTACTATATTATTTGGAAAGTATTTTATGAAGTAATATTTATACATTGTATGTATGTATTTTATATTGTAAAGTTTCTGTGCTGCTGTTATTGTTTACAACTATTGTCTCAAAAAAAAAAAAAAAATGATAATTAAATAAACAATGTATATTAAGAAGAAGGAATTAGTTTTCATATGCATATGTATCAGTAACATGGGTATGTATGAGTAATATAAGATATAAGAATATCTAAATTTCATAAATGATAAGAAAAAAAAACAAGAAGAAATTAGATAATAAATTCGTGAAGAAAATTGTACATAAGTAATAGAATATCAAATGTAGTGTTTGAGAAACTATGATGCTAAAAAGATTTATTTCCTCATATTATACATACATAGTTTTGTTATTGACACCTAGCATTCAGAGACGCAATGAAAGATGTGACCTATTAACTTTCAAGTGTATGAAATAAGGATCTCTATAAATGCATCCTAGTTTACATCGAATGTTTCAAAAATTAAGTGCATAAATATTAATTTACACATACGTAAAAGTAGATTTATACTTGTTTACAAAGTATCAGAAAATGCAAATGAAGTCGTATCATAAATACAAATATTATTTATAAATCACAGAAACTTTTGTTTATGTACAAAAAAAATTTATACATAGGTTAAAAATATGGAGGAAAGATATTTGTTTTAATGAAAATTGTTATTTCTTATCGTCAAATTGATGTAATATTATAATTTGTCAATTACTAATAGATGTTTTTGCTAATGTGTCGGTTATTTTCATGGTGAACTTCCTTATGTGAGATACTACATATACATGTGGTGAGAATTTCAGTAGATATATACATAAAAAGTACTTAATGTCAGAGTCAGCATCAATTGTTAATATATAAATGGCTAGGGTTATCTTTGTACATATTATGTACGATTTATTACATACGATATATATATTCGTTACTATTGTTAATGATAATTACCGGAAATGTGAAATGTTAGAAAAATAATTCAAGGTGGGTAAGAATATGATGTATTATTTTGCACTGTATCTGTTATTGTATATGATCGCCTTACATAATAATAATAATAATAATAATAATAATAATAATAATAATAATAAATATAATATAATTATGTTATTTCAGTGTAATAGTGTTTTACTGAGTTGTTTGCATATTAGCATAAACGTAAGACAGTGGCGAGAGGTAGATAGTGAACAGTATCATAAAAAATTTGATTGCTATTTATAATTACTAATTACTGTATATTCTATCATTATTAATCACTTTTTTTAATGACTATGAATTTTTTTTTTATTTTTGAGGAAGATTAAATTTAATTTAATTTTGAATTTTGCAGCAATAAGTGACAATTATTATAAATGAAGGTGTAACAGAGTAAACAATAAATCAACACATTTATATACAGCAGCATTATGTATTGAATAATTAATTGGTCTTATAACTTATATATTGACTAGTTTATGTTACGTAAGTAAGAAAAAATGTCATATGTTGTATAGTTAGTTACTCACTGGTATTCAAATCATCGATGGTTTTAGTTTGCAAGCTCATTTCGTACATGAATCAGAGTGTAAAAATGAATCATCAAATTAGAGCCAACAGTACATATTTTTTATTTGATTTTCTTAATTGTGGAATCTCATTGATTGTAGTAGCAACAAATTAATATATTGCAGTAAATATATAGTAAATTAATTAATATATTGTAGTGGTAACAAATTAAAAAAATAACTACATTTAAATGCTAATTGGTGGAGCAAATGTTACGTATAATATTGCTTCTACGGTAGGTTGAAGATAGATTTATTAATAATTGTTGTAAATTATTACGATTTGTCAATTTTATTTGAAATTTTTAAATTTAAAATTGTTTATTTATTATTCGGTTATTAAAAATATGCTAATGCGTTTGAGAAAATGATTTGATGTAAAAAAAACGATTATTTTAAATAATTATTTATTTTTGCAAATAATATAATCATTACATGTACATATATGGTAATGTAGATTCTGTGATTTTAGTTTACAATCTGCAATGTTAATTCAAATTCAAACATTTTCCCGCCATTTGGTGTAATACCGGCATTTTTTTGAAATAATCTATAGTTTAGTACTTTGATCATATGTAATTCAGAAAATAATCATACATGCAATATGTGACTTGTGCATATTTTAATATTACATTCATCTTACGTTTTAGTTGAATAAAGAGGTTGCTAAAGTTATTAAAATGATTTTTGTATTTACAACACTGCAACACTGTATGTAATAAATGATACAAATCTTTCATGGAAGATTTTGAATCTGAAGCTAGCTATGTTATGATGATTATAAGAAGCTTAAAATGAGAAACCATGAGAACTATAGAATGAAAATGGCCAAAAAAATAGTTACTGACATTAATAGAGGATACTTTAATATCACAAAACTACAAAATATCACAAAACATTTCAAGTATAAATATAAATGAAAATATAGAGCTATAGAGCAAATATAAATAAATAAAAATAAAACTATATGTAGAATTTTTATTTTATTATACAAATAATGTAAGTATTTATGCAAAAATTTAATATTAATAAAATATTAAATTTAGACTTTTAAATGAAATGGCATTACGTCGGTGCTAGATGATATGAATGAAAGTTATAATGGGAGCTATCTTGAACAAACGGAAGATGTGCATCCAGGTATCTACGGCTTGTTTTACGACGGAGCAAGAAAAGGTATTACAGCGTGCACTTCCTTTAAATAATATTTGCTCTTACTTCCATATTTTTCTTTAATCTTATCTTTTTTCACTTTACAGAATGTCCCAACTATTTCCACGACCTCTTGTGCGTATTAACAATCCCTGTGAGAGGAGCAGATAAAAGCAATTTGAGGCAATGACCTTATTTTACGATATTGGGGATCCTGTATTTCTTGACAATTTCAAGAAGGTAAGATGGTTTTCCTTATATATGTTTCTATCATTCCAGAATTTTAGGCACACAATTAATATTGTAAGTACATTCTTGTTTAATAACTTTACTATCATAGAATGCCTACACGCAGCGTGCTTGTACATTTCTTATGTTTTCGAAAATAATTGTTAACCTTAAAAAATTCACTGTTGCATATCGATAATATTAGGTAGATAATAACGATATTTAACGATAACTTTGGCAACTATTTTTACTCAAGTGCCATACTTATTTTTCTGAAAGATTATTTCGTTAAAATCTATTTATTTCATTTAGTTTTCACAAATATAAAATCTTTACTGCTATATCTTTTATACCGTTTTATTATTGATTACTTATTATCGATCGTCAAATATCGATACTTATCACGGATTCGTAAAAATGTAACGGTCGCACACCGAATAATAGAACCGAATAAAATAATCGAAAAGGTGAGCGTTCATTCGTTTCGTGGAGGAGATTTATATTTTATGTTTGTTTTATATTACAATGAGCACCCATTATTAAACTACGGACTGTGTATTCACGGACCGGGGTAGGCACACGTGCGTTTGTATGCGCGGACAGAGCAGTGGCGCGAGACGCAGCCGCAGTCGTCGCTCGGATCTCGATCGGGCCGGTTGTATACTGTGTTTCGTAGGTAGATTCGCGAGCCACCATTCGAGCGTCGTTCAGTCCATTCCGAGCCGTATGATCGGGATGGTTTTTTTCTTAGTTTTTCTAGACAACCACGCGTAAGCACGTCGTGTCCTCCTCCGAAGTGTACTCGTTTTGCCTATCTCGCGATCGTGTAGCAACGTTTAAGTATCAAACGTTCTTCCTTCTAAAAGTTTGATTTGAAGAAAGCGGGACAAGGAGAGAGGGAGGGAGATAGAAAAAAAGAATACGAATCAGTCCGAGTCACTATGGATCGGTCATCGAGAATGATTCTACGAAAGATCATCATTGATTTCGTGTGCTTGCTCGTTGGTAAGTGGATCAACATATTCGTACATGTAGACGCGCGAACGGGTAGTTAGAATGTATCTGCAATTCGTAATACGACTGGTTCGCGAGATTCCTTTGTATCCGTGCTAGAGGAGTACGATGAACGATGATTACGTTATATCAGGCAGCTGTCAGATTGACAGTCGAGGCGCCGCACGCGGCCCGTTTGATCTGCCACCGAGCTAACCTTTAAATTGGCAGGTGCCTGTGTTCATTCGGGAATTGAAAATATACTCCGATGTAAAATAATGGCAGGGTTTGTTGAGTCAGAAGGGCATTCAAACAAGCTGCCTTGTAATTTATCAAATTCAATTGTGAACCATTTTTAATTGATTTACGTTTGGAAACAGGCTGTTTAAATAGCGTGATAAACAATGTAAGATATAGGTAATATAGATATTATGTGTATATTGACAGCTTGACGGCCATAGTTTTCTACGAGAATGTAACTTTGAATCATCAAGAAAGATAATAGAATGTTTGTATTTATTTTTGGATGTTTTGTTGTTTATTTATATATAATATTACGTAATACCTCCTCAAATAATTTTATTACAGGTACTATTTTTCCTTATACTCGATATATCGTATTCGATATACATTCGATATATCGTATTCGATATATCGATATATTTCTCATTCTTTTGTTAATATACGAATATTTCATAACACCTCGTAATATAGAAGTTCAATTATTCTATGCAAAGACTGAATTTCGATTTTATTTTGAAACTTGGGTGATCTGACCTACATGCGTCGTATTACACAATGCGTTGTTATTACCACATTGCGGATGTTTATGCGAATCCATGTTTTTGTAAATGTAGTTAAGAAATCCGAGTTTGGGCAGAGAATTGTTTTCATTATTTTCAATGACGGTGACACAGCACTTTAGATATTCGTGTGCATTACAACGTTATGTTTATATTTTCGAATTTTTCCATAAATGCATAAACGTGATTATTCCGCTTTCTGTCTAGTTTCTTTGTTTACGTGCGCAATAAAATTTTACTATTGCAGCACAGGTCACATTCTACCGTAAAATGTAAATAGATCGCGCACGTATGAAGGTTATTGTTTAAGTAGGCGAGTTCCCTGGGTTACATACCAATTGAGATTCGCGGATTTCATTTGCACGAACGACGGAAGAATCGATCGTCCGCCACGTTCTTAGATAAAATTAAATCTCGACAAAATTTAATTTAATTTAATCGCGTTAAGCGTCACGGATACCGATGGCAATTAGTTTCTCATACGTTTTCGTACCGAGCGAGTTCCCCGAGGTTTGCATTTTTTTTTTTCTTCATTGCATCGTCAGCGCGAATGTGCAAGGGAATTCTTTAGCCTTCTGCCGGTCTGTTTAGTTTCTTGATGTTCGATGTTTGAAAACAGGTTATGAAAAATTGTTTAGATTATCTCGGCAAACACACACCCTTTAGCTCGATCGATTTAATCTGAGAAGTGGTGACACGGTTTCGTTTAACGGGTTGTATCTGGTACGCTGCAGTTATTTGATATTTTTCGTGTAATGTTCAAGGAGATTCCATAGATGGGCCATTTTTAACGGGAAATTTTTTGATCAAATTGTTCTTCACGACCATTCATGATGAATGTTGAAATTCGCGCTCCAAATAGATTTATTAATTTTTTTGGACATAGAAAGTTGAAACGGTACGAAAACGTATCATAATAAAAGTAATAATAATAATTCTTTTGCAATTAGAATAACGAAAAGGCCGACGTAATGGTATCTGCCTGTATCAACGAACATCAGATTACATTTATAACATGATTCTCCATAGTGATCATTGTCTTCAGTAAGATAGCTAGTCCCAAGGATCTCGTATACTATCAAATAGTATCTTGTATCTGCGGGTTTTCAAGTAAATTCATATTTTGAGAGTACAAATTAAAAAAAACTAGATAAAAAACTGGAATTTTGGATTTTTTCATATTATATTATATTATTTTTTATTTTTTATTATATTATTATTATATTTATTATTATTATATTATATTATTTTTTATTTTTTATTATATTATTATTATATTTATTATTATATTATATTATTTTTTTATATTTTTTTATTATATGGAGAACATACTATATAAATTCTTCGAAGATCGCGAAATTTGGGGAAGTTCGCGAAAGTCGCGGCTAAAAGTGTCTTGCCAGTCGATAAAGAGAAACGCGACGAGTGGAGGGACTGTGGACACAGATGAAAACCAGATAACGCAAAAATGAGTATTATTCACGGCGGGAAGTAGGCCGAGGGCATTTTCGTCTCGAAAGTTGCTCACAGGTGTCTATTTGTTCCACCTTTGTTTGTCGCGTTTGCCTTCAAATTACTTACATGCGACTGAGTCTGAATCGTAAGGTTACCTCATTTTTCTTCTCTCTCTCTTTTTTTTTTCTTTACAAAACCATTCATCCGTTACATACGTGTTATTCGTAGAGATATAATTTTAATTCTAAAACGATAATTATATTGTCTAATTGCATTCTCGTCGCTTGATTTTTTTATATTTTTGTCGAATGAATATTGATACAAGTAACAACAAGTAGCTTGAAAGAAATGCGCGAGAAATGTAAATCACGTCGAGAGTAATAGTAGATTCCTGTTTTATCCAAGTGTACGATTTGTTTGTTTGGGATTCCCCCAGTTTAACACTAGATGTATCAGAGTAGCCAAAATGATAAATTTGTGTTTTTCTTTTTTTCTTAAAATAAAATTATATAGATTCCAGATTTTAATAATGACGCATTTATCAGGTTTTGAATGATTCTTTTATAAGATATAGGATATCTTACAAATGATAGGTACATAATGGCTTGTATCTTTCTTCTTATGCATAATATACCTTTCATTTTTTAATTTTTTTGATAGAACACTAGGACCACTCAATCCTATCAAAATGATTTCGATTTTTTTGCAATTACATGCAAATGTGGGTAGTAACTTAATAATTCTAATGTTAATAATTCAACTTGCATCTCTATAGTATTGATACTATAGAAATATTAATATTTATAGAAATATTAGTATTTACTGTTTATTATTAATACTATTAATACTAGAAATATTAATATTTATACTATTAATATAGAAATATTAATATTTATACTATTAATACTATAAAAATATTAATATTTACTGTTTACTATTAATACTATTAATACTAGAAATATTAATATTTACTATTTACTATTAATACTAGAAACATTAATATTTATGCTATTAGTACTATAGAAATATTAATATTTATATTATTATTTACTATTAATTACTATTAATATTTATATTATTATTTACTATTATTTACTATTAATATTTATATTATTAATATAAAAATATTAATATTTATACTATTAATATAGAAATATTAATATTTACTATTTACTATTAATACTATTACTATTAATACTAGAAATATTAATATTTATACTATTAATATTTTTTTTCTTCTTTTTTCTTATCTTCCCGTTCTTATCTATTCAGATCTATTTATTGCGAAAATATAATATCAGTGGTTTTAATGGTACCAATCAATTTCCCTCGATGACAGAAAATTACACGTAACTCGGTGATTGAAATATTTATTAGATATTGTAATAGTACACGGTGTAACGTTGTTCTCACAGCGTGTAGGCTGTTGTTATATTATTACGTTGGGGCATGTGCCCTGATAGGTAGGATGTTGATTTAAGGCACGAGTGTGTTTTAAAATTAAAATAATTGGCACGCGTGTAATGCATGTATAACGATGGAAACGGGGCGGTAGTAGCATGTGATTATGTATTTACGCTGTTGTTTGCGACGAGGGAGAAAAGCGGTCGGTAAATAAAAATGAAAACAAGAGAAAATATTTTCTTAAATTCATTATATCAAATAAGTTATCGAGCCAGCAAAGTTAGCAAGGTAGAAAATGAGATTAAAATGTGAACGAGTACGTATTAGCATATATATATATATATATGTACATATTTTTTTTGATACACAATCTACGCGGGTATTATATCAGTTGATTCATAGTTCATAATTTCATAAATTCATGCTAGTTGACACGTGAGTATTACTTGAAAGGAAGTAGTAGTTAGTCAGCATGTAATTCGTCGTTCTTTAAGAGGAACTGATTTCAGAGTAAAGAGAGTGGAATAAAAATGAGCAGAAACGTAAATTCCTCGATTACTTTGCGAGTAAATAATTACAATAGTGGCCTGGACAAATACTGCCTATAATCACTGTATAATTAATGCTTGTTAATAAGTACCGCAGTGTCCAAACGAATTTCTCGTTCTCTTTTTCGTTGAAATAGAAACGTAACGAAATATTCAGTGATAGAATTTAGAGGAGAATCTAAATCTAGGAGAGGGAAGTGTTATCAATTCAGTTAACTCTCGGCAGGGAGCTCTGTTCCTGGAGGAATATGATAATATAGAAATCAGAAACGGTTCGATTATAAAAACGAATTCATTAAATGATAACTAACTCTGACGTGAGTGTGGAAAGAAATGCTTCTCGATTCAAGTTAATTAAGATCGAACGAACGGAATTGAAGCGAGCAGGCTGAGAAGAATGCTCTTCTTTTTTCTTTTTTCCTAAGGCCGGTATTCTTTGACTTTTTCGTCGGCTATTGTGCCCGAACCTTCGAAGCGGTACGACTAAACGGAGCGTGTCTTTCACGATTCTCTCTAATAACTGGACCCTTTCAAACTTCGTTAAGCGGCAGAAACAGGTCCGGGCTGGGTGGTGGCAGAGTATTAGCGGCAATTTTGTCGGAACCTGTGTGTCACTGGGCCTCGCTCGCTGGTTAACACGTGTTAAATCGAGCCCATACAACGGGGCCGCAAGTGCAGATTAGCCGCTGAAAATTCGCCTTGATTCAATGACTGAATGGAAGGTCAGTAACTCTCTCGATGGTTTTGTTGCTCGATGTTTCGTTGGTCGATGTTAAATACTTCCCACGAATGTCCCTCTCCG